ACGAATCATGCTGAAGTCGGGAAGTGCGCATGACGCCCGACAGGCTGGCCCCTCATTCGGTAAGGCTGTGGTGTGTATCTTTTGCTTCCAGCCTTGTGTTCCGGAGGATCAACGTTTCAGAGACACTATCGTCAAAACAAGTCGTCAATTTTTTCTGGAGCATAGCTACGCTCACATAGGCGACGGTCTTGCGCGGCTTGGAGTTCAAGGTATATCTACACCCACGACATTGAGGGGACGAGCAGGAGCATAGCACGCGCGAACTGAAAATAGTTTGATGTATCTCAACACTTGCATGGCCCGAGTTTTGAAGAATAAGGGGGGATGGCATGGGACAGCGTCGGCCACTGTAAGGACTGGGTTGAGCCTGATAGTTTTCACTGCAACGAACCAAGACTGCGGGCCTTCACATGTACGATTGTGCTCCTGGTGAGGCCCCAAGAGAGCTCGTCCGACTGACAGAGGTAGATGCAATTAGTTACTACGGCACTGTAGTCAAGGTACAAGGCACCAATAGGCCGTAGGCATCTTTTATCGCACCGCATCTCGAGGCGTAGTCTAGACAAATTCCCGCAGAGCATCATCCAGTGTCGTCGCCGTCTTGACCTTGTTCACGTCGTACAGCTGCTCGTCGGCCATCTCGAAAATGCCACTGTTGGTTAGGAGCTCGGCGGCGAGCGACGCATAATCCCACGACCGGCCCCGGCCGAACCGCTTACGCGACTCGTCAATCTGCTGCCGCAGCTCGTCGAGGCTACCAGCCTTTTCAATGCCGTAGGGCTTCCCGCTGACGCGGCCGTACGCCTCGGCGATCTCGACGAGGGTGCTGCGTCCGGATGGGATGTAGAAGAAGCCGCCCTGGCCGTCCTGCACGCCCTGGCCGTGGAGGAGGACGTCGATGGTGTAGGCGGCAGCATCATCCTGGGTGACCCAGGGGTGCTTCTTCTTCAGACCATCGTCACCCCAGTAGCGGAAGACGATCTTTTCGGGCCCCACGACGGGGGCGCCGGGGCCAAAGGGCGTCAGTATGTAGCTGGAGAAGATGCCGGTGAAGAGGTAGACGGGGCGGATGGTGCTTGTCAGGGCAGCATGATGCTCAAAGGCGATGCATGTATCATAGTGCTCAAATGTGCCATACTTCATCCGTGTCCAGTCGTAGTTCCAGGAGGAGGCAATGAAGACCTTGATGCCGGCGCGTTCGGCGGCGCGCAACAATAGGAGGGAGCCGTCGAGGCTCAGGATATCGGTCGGCGAGTAGGCGTTGATGATCGAGTCGACGCCGGCGACGGCCTTGTCGAGGGCGGGGATGTCCTCGTGGGAGGCCGATTGGACGAAGGACTCGAGGGAGGCGGCAATGGTGGGGTCGAGCTTGTCGGGGCTACGGCCGAGACCACGGACAGCGAGGCCGCGGTCCAGGGCGGTCCGGGCGAGGCGCTGGCCAAGGGAGCCAGTGATGCCGGCAATGAGAACGACCATGGTGGGATAATGGTGGGATAGGGGAACGGGGGTGAGGAGGAGAAGCTTGGTACGCCGATGATGCTTTGGTTCAGAAGACGGCGGAACGGTCGTCTCCAGGAGGCAATGATTGGAAGTGGAAGTCAAAGTCTCTTTGGGGAACGGCATCGTTGCTGTCCAGTGGCCACGCTTTTAATAATGTGTCCATCATTGACCCGTCTGGAAGATAGACGCGGGAGCAGAGCGATGGGATGGTCCATGGAGCTGTCGAAAAGCCTCCGAGGCGGAGTTCACTGAGTCTGGCATGACGTCTTTCTGGGCATGTCCTCCAATCTCTGAGGTCGGAAGAGTTGTGCGAACGTTAGGCGGACCTGGAGTCTCCACTGCCGCGAGGTAGACGGCGGACTTCTCGCATGCTGGCTGCATTGAGGGTGTCGCTGGAGTTGGCAATGACAAAGCAAAGTCCGCTCCGATGCTGATCCCGTGTGAAAGCAGTCGTGGCATGGCCTTCAGTGCTACTACGCACGGTAATTCTGTCGTCGGTCCCAGCAAGCACTTCTTCGCCTCAGGAGGAGGGGGTTTGAGATGGCTTGTTCGGGTGCTGTCAGGGTGAGAGAGGCCTCGTGCCTTGCCAGGTTCCTCATTGGCGTCTAAGCGGTCGAGATATTTGCCCAAGTAGAGCATGTTGATTGAAGATGAAGTTGTACATGAACCGAAAGACCAGCCTCGTCCCTCATCAGCAATGAAGAGGCCAAAGGCAGGGGAGGTGCAGTGCAGTGCGTACAGTGTAGTACAGTGCAGTACACAAGCAGGCAGGCAGGCAGGCAGGCAGTTAACGTTTGGGTGCCTGGATCGGGCGCTAACCCGGATGGTCTAGCGTACGTCCCGCTTCAAGTGGACACTCTGCATTCCTCGACGGCAGTGACGAAAGACCAAAGAAGACAGACGAAGACGGCAGGCACCGAGTCCCGGAAGGCTTGGGAACTGCGACCTCGACCCTGCATCATCACTACCATCGCCACCACCACCACCACCACAACCACATTATCATCCACCAGGCCTCGGCATCGGCATCGTCACAAAACGCCAGCCAGCGTTATCGCATCCGTATTTTATGGGGGACGCCCGTACGCCCACAACCACGACGTCATGTTCCACATTGTGAGCGCGTCGTCTGTCGCGCCCTCCATCGTCTTGACCTTGCTCGCCCTCCTTACCATCTCCTTGGTCGTCCTCCTGATCTTGCGCTTCTACCTGCCCCTACGGACGACGCCAGCATTCTATCTCGTCCCCATCTTCTTCGCACTCTGGCTGCCAGCATGCATGGTCCTTCTGGTCCCCGTCGACCTGGCCTCCGGTGCCAAGACGGACGATGAGGCCACCCGTGGTGTTTGGCTGCCCGCCAGGGTGCTGCTCGTATCCTGGAGGATCACCTACTGGCTCACGTTCGCCCTGACATGGTACGCGAAACCAGCTGCCGAGACTGCTCTGCCGTTGCTGACATGATGCGAACCGCAGGTTTATCCTCCCCATCCTCGGCGAATACTCCGACGCCGGCTACCGCGAACCCAAAGACAATGTTCTCTACTCTCTGCGCGCAAATGCCCAGTATCACGCCATGGTCTTCGGTGCTGGACTCGTCGGTCTCGTCTATCTCGTCACATCCCACGGCCTCAACTTCGCCTCCCTCAAAACGACCATCATGGCATTGGCCTATTTCTGGGGTCTCATCTTCGCCATCTACCTCATGGGCCACGGCCTCGTCTCGATTCCCCGCCGCCTCTTCCGTTTCGCCTCCATCAGCGGCAGGCTGCGCCGTCTTCAGAACCACGCGCCCAAGGTCCACGAGCGCATGGAGGATTCGCTCCTGACGCTGGAGGACATTGAGGTCCAAATCTCCGAGTTGAGTCGCCGCAAGGTCGGGAGCGCCCGGGACTTCCAGGAATGGATTGACGAGCTGGCCGAGATGGCCAACCTGCCCGAGTCGCAACCACGCTCTGGCATGCGCGGATCTGCCGAGAGCCGTGTCCTACCCACCGTCATCACCGAAAAGTACATGGCCGACCTGACGCGGAAGCTGACGCGCGCCCGTCATGCGCGGTCACGTTACACCGGCGAGTGGAACCATCTCGTGCAGGAGGCGGCTGCAACCCAGGCGATTCTCGATTCGGCAGCCTCCAAGAAGCTTGACTTCGGAGAACCGTCCCCCCACGCTGGCTTCTGGGATCGGACGACCATTCTGACGCCATACTCTCGTTACATCTTTTACTACCACATCCAGCCCTACGGCAGCATCCTTTTCGGTCTCTTCCTCGCCGCATGCTCGGCATGCATCGTGTGGTCTGAACTCATCAAGGCCGCCTTCCCCAAGCTCTCCGTCATCCGTATCAGTGTTGTCCACCACTGGGTCGGCGACAAGGGCCAGGTCGGCTTTGCTGGTCAGGTCATCTCCATCATGTGGCTCTTGTACATGTGCTCGGCTGCTTTTATCACCATGACCGAAGTCAAGACGTGGCGGAGCCGTGCGCTCGTCAAACGCAACACGGGGTACGAATCGGCGTTCTGGTACGCGGGTCAAGTCGCCAAGCTCAGCGTCCCCCTGTCCTACAACTTTATGACATTTCTGCCCAAGGTCATCTACGAGAAGACGCTGTTCTACCACATCCTGGGGCAGTATATCAACCTGACGCCACTGACGAGCTTCATGGACTACCTCTTCCCAATTCTCGTGCTCGTCCCCGTCCTTGCCACGCTCTTTGGCCTCTACGGCAAAGTCCAACGGTTCTTCGGTTTTGGCGTTGACATTATCGAGGATGAGGACGAAGACAACCAGCGAACGTATGGTGCAGGATCGTGGCGTGAGGGTCGTGACCTGATCGAGCGCGATCTCGGCGGCAACTCGAGCGCCCGGCGCCGCGAGGAGACGTTTGCCCGTCTTGGCGCTGCTGCAGCCGCCTCTGCTGCCCGATCCGCCCCTGTTCTCACCGTGCCCGGCGGGGCGTCCTCACCAGCGCGATCTCCCGTGCGTGCGTCGGCGCAGGACAGGCGCGAGAGGGTGTCACGACCGGCGTACACCGATGCGGACGCTGAGGACCAAAACTTCTTCGAATCCCTGGGCCATCGCATGAAGAACACCATGGACACGTTTGAAGCTCCCAACTGGTTCCAGGACATCAAGAAGCCCAAGTGGATGGGTGGAGACGATGACGGAGCGCCGGCTGGCAGCAGCAGCGGCGGGGCCGGTGCCGGCGGGCCGTCCTCGACCGAGTCGGATATCCGGAGGTGGTTTGGAGGTGAGAGCAGAATCCGTCTTTGAGCTTATCGCACGGCAGGCGTTCGATCTGTCTTCATTCCCTTGCATGTTTCTCTATTTATTCTTTCGGGTGGCGGTCGAAGGGGCCTGATTCTCTACCAAGAGCTGGGGAGATTGCATAGTACGGAGTTTGGGCGAAGCAGAGGCTGGCTGCCACGCTCTTTTTGACACTTGGATTGCAGGATAGATCTAGATACATTACTAATTAATGAACCGAATCAGTCGGTCTCCTTCCGTGTTGCATGGCGGCAATCGACGTGTCGTATGGATTCTGTCGACGTTCGTAGGGCTGCAGGGTCTGGTTTGGCTGAGCCAATCACACGGACCAACTGCAAGTCTGGTGGGTGCCTGACGCCACTACACACTGCATCAAGCTCTCAACTGTCCAGCGAGTCTTTGCCGTCACCCATCTACCCATCCATCCATCCATCCAGGCAACCTTCATGACGGACGCCGCCAACATATCCACCACCACAATGAGCAAACCAGGCGGCATCTCCTTCGGCCTTAACCTCTCCAAGAAACCAGGGCTCCAAAAAAAGCCCGCCCTCGCAAAACGGAAACCCTTTGGCGGCAACGATGATTCAGACGACGACGACAACAGCAGCAGCACAGCCAAGCCCGCCACCGGCAAGGTCCAAGCCATTGGCGAACTAGACGGCTTCGAAACGCCCGGCGCAGCAGCGGCATCCCGAACCCCGGAAGACGAAGACGACGCCCAGCGGCGCAAGGCAAAGGCCAGGCGAAACGCCCCGCCCGCCGCACCACCGACCCTCAAGGCGCGGACGAACCACGAGAGCGCGCTGTTCGGCGACCTGGCGGGCGCGCTGACGGCGCGGCGCAACGCCGCCGCCGCCGAGGCCGTCGATTCGAGCGTGTACGACTATGACGGCGTCTACGACGCGCTCAAGGCGGCATCGGCGCGCGGAAACCGGACGGCGGACGATGATGACGGGGAGGAGGCCGAGGGCGGGGCGGCGCGCAAGCCGCGGTACATGAAGAGCGTCATTGCGGCGGCGGCGGTGCGGAAGCGCGACGCGCTGATTGCCGAGGAGAAGAAGATTGCGCGCGAGCGCGAGGAGGAGGGCGAGGCGTTTGCTGACAAGGAAAAGTTCGTCACCGAGGCGTACCGGAAGCAGCAGGAGGAGAACAGGCGCATCGAGGCCGAGGAGAAGAGGCGCGAGGAGGAGGAGGAGCGGAAGAACAAGGCGGGCGGCATGACGGCGTTTTACAAGGGCTTGCTGAACCGCGGCGAGGAGAGGCATCAGGAGATGATGAAGGCTGCCGAGGAACAGGCCAAGAATGCGCCTGCGGAGCGCGAAAAGAAGGAGGGAAAAGGGCAGCGGGACGAGGAGCAGCCTGACAAGGAAGCGACGGACGCCAACCGGGCGAGCGAGATCAACAAGAAGGGCGGCAAGATTGCCATCAACGAAGACGGCCAGGTCGTCGACAAGCGCGAGCTGCTACGGGGCGGCCTCAACGTCGGCGCCAAGAAGGAGGCACAGGTCAGGAGAGAGGCCAGCCGGCCAAAGGATGACGGGCACGACCGGGGTTCGGGGTCCGGCTTCATCGGTGCTGGCGGCAAAGGCGCCATGCGCGAGCGGCAGACGCGCATGCTCGAGCAGCAGCTCGCCGAGTCGCTCAAGCGGTCACGCGAGGAGGAGGAACAGGAGCGCGAGAAGATCGAGACGTCGGCCAAATCGAGGAAGACGGAAGGCGAGATCTCCAGCGCCAAGGAGAGATACCTGGCGAGAAAGCGCGAGGCGGAAGAGGCAAAGAAGAAAAAGGCGGCTGAGTAGGACATTTTTTGATACCCCCGAGAGATGGCTTCCCCAGATCAGGGGTGTGTCATCTAAGATTATAGCTCTACAAGAAAGAGTTTGTCTCCAAGAAGATCAGAGCGCCACCAATGTGTTGATTGTACATGTGCCCCCCCCGCCTCTAACACTACACGACTGTGGCAGCACTGGCAGCAGCCTCTTGACGCAGGCATTCGTTCCCGGCTGGGCCTGGGTCTTCGCCTTCCACAAGTGAGGCGCGGCCACCCTTTTTGCGACTCATATCCGGGTCATTGTTTTTGATGGTACATTCGGCACGGGGCCGTTCGATTTCGATGATTCGCGAGCAGTCTCGATCTTAGGAAGACAGAGCCTGATTGCCAGACTCTTGGCGTATCCTGGCGATATAGGCCGTGTTGACCTGGTTCCATGCCGACATGTATTTCTCCATGCACGACGTCATGCATGTCGTCTCGCCGCTGGACAGCGAGGTGCCGGGCTTGGGGACGCACTTCTCGAAGCAGTTCTCCTGGAGTTTCTGGGCGGCGTCAGTCGACTGCATCCTTTGCCCTGCAGCGTCCGACAGGGGGCTGCAGACATACCTCGATGAGAACACGGGCATTGGCCATGTTGGCCTCCTGAAGGACCTGCTTCTGGAGCGCCCTCTTGACGGATTCGGAGTCCATTGTGATGGGTGATGGTGTGATGCGAGATTTTTTTTCGTGGTGCAGTTGAAGGGCAAGTGTCGGAAGGAGGGTATCGTCAAGTAGGAGCGGGTGTAACAATGGAAGCACGGGTGTTGATGACCAGGTCCCTCGGGTAAGTAGACGACGGGAAGTAGCGATGATCAAGGTTGAAGAGCTTGATGGATTGGAGTGGCTGAAGCGTAAATCTGCGCCACATATCACCAGCCTCAGGCCACCATCTCTCCAACCGACGTCAGGCGAGCGAGCGGGACAGGGGGGAGCTCCAAAACGCCGTGACCCCAGGTTTCCATTCCAGGAAACCTAAGGTACCTACCTACCTTACTTACTACTGGGCCGAAAAGTGAAAGAGGACAGCTAACGGCCCTGGCCAGCCATTGCAACGCTCTGCACCCAACAACCCCCCCCCCCCCCCCTCCCTCAAATTCACGACCATCTCCTCCTCGACGCCGCCGCCGACCGACCCTTGTGCGTCGCTGGATCCCGGCTTTGCTCTCGTCTTTTTGTCTTCTATTCTTTGTTGCTTTCTTCTGGATCCCTGACGATACGCCGGCAACCATGTGGCTGAAGTCGCTCGTGTCGGCCTTGGGGCTGGCTGCTCTGGCTCGGGGCCAGAAGACCTCGGAAGATGACGGCGAGGTCCGGAGCATTGGTGTATGTTGACACGCTGGCGCAACCCTCTTCTTGATCTGGTCGATTGGTGTAGTGTACTGACTGACAATGCGTGATCTAGCTGCGCACCCACTCCCTCCAACAGGTTTGCACCATGGCCTCTCCAACACCAACTTCTCCCCTGAACGCCGACCGCTAAAACAGCTCGACAGCCCTACCTCGACTCGGACATGCAGAGCCGATGGTACGACTTTGGTGGCGACGCGATCATCCGGGACAGACTCGTGGGTGGCTTCCCCCCCTTCTCGCTTTCTTTCGCCATGCTCTGCTGTGTTCATGCCATGAAGAGGGGGAAAAAAAGGAGTCTGACACGAGAGACAGATACATCCGCCTGACATCGGACCGCCCATCGCAATCGGGCTGGCTCTTCTCGCGCGTGCCACTGACGGCGACCAACTGGGAGATTGAGGTCGAGTTCAAAATCTCAGGCAAGGGCCAGCTCTACGGCGACGGCTTCGCCTTCTGGGTGACCAAGAACCGCGGGCAGATGGGCCCCGTGTTCGGGGCGGCGGACCGCTTCGAGGGCCTCGGCGTCTTCTTCGACACGTACAAGAACAACCGGCCGGGCGTCGTGTTCCCCTACGTCATGGCCATGCACGGCGACGGCCAGACGCCCTACGACAAGGACAACGACGGCAAGGCGTCCGAGCTCGCCGGCTGCTCGGCGCGCGGCATCCGCAACGCCGCCGTGCCCTCGCGCTTCAAGCTGACCTACTTCCAGGACAAGCTGCTCAAGCTCGAGCTGCAGTACAAGTCCGAGGGCGACTGGCAGCTGTGCTTCGAGACGCGCCAGCCCCCGGCCCTGCCGTCCATCGCCTACCTCGGCTTCAGCGCCGAGACGGGCGAGCTGCACGACAACCACGACATCATCTCCGTCGCCGCCAAGAACCTCTACACCGCCCCCGGCAAGAACAAGAACCCCTCGACCCCCGGCAGCGGCCAGTCGTCGAGCCGCGGCCCCGCCCCCGTCAAGGAGGGCGGCAGCTGGACCTGGTTCTTCGGCAAGATCATCCTCTTCATTCTCGTCCTCGGCGCCGCCTACGTCGGCTACACGGCCTGGCGGGCGAAGAACGACAAGCGCCACCGCTTCTGAGCGCTTGGCTCTGCTTTACCTCTGACATGCCGACGCGGGGTGGGCCAAGGCGGTGATGGCGACGCCTGGAGAAACGGGTGGGCTAGGGCGGTGATGCCGACACATGGAGAAACGGGATGGGCTAGGGCGGTGATCGTGACGGAAACACGTGCAAACTGCAAAAAATTGGGTTGGACAAGATGGGGCAAGGACGGAAACGAGACGTAGGCGACGACGCCACGGAGTCACGGAGATGAAGCAGACATGCGGTACCGTGCCTGCGGCGGTTTACAAACTTTTCTCACGTTGTTCCTGATGTTCTTGTTCCTGTAAGAGTGTATGTCACAGTGAGATTCGGAGTTCAAGAAATGACCACGAGCCTGATCAAGTGATGTTTAACATGCAATGTTGAGACATGAGTGAGTAGTTTGAGTAGGGAGCGGTTGCCACGGATTTGCTACAACTCGGTGCATCATGCCGGGATAACCAATTCACGCCTGAACGCTGGCTGTGTACTCCTTCCAACGCCCAAAAGAACCGACCCGCCTCAGAACACATCTTATCAAGTATATGTCATCATTCATTGAAAATGTCTATCTAATCCAAGCCTGTACTGTTGTTGCCCCAGTCATTACGTCGTGAAGTATATACACACCACTTGTCGAGAATTATCACCCCGTCTCCTGAATCCTTTTAAGACTTTGTCGGAGTCACGAGAATCGGGCAAAAAAGGGTCCTGCCGCATCTCATGACAGCCGCCCCCTCTACGGCTTGACCGGCGCCGTGACCGAGGTCCACGTATTGGCCTTGCTCATGGTCCGCTTCCGCATCATGGCCATGATATCGGCCTCCATGTGCTCAATGTTCTTCTCAAGGTCATCGTCCTCGAGCTTGAAGCGGCCCTCGCGGCGGCGGTCAAACTGCAGCCAGCCGAGGACAATGGCGGCCGTGACGGGCACGGTGATGACAAAGTAGACCCACAGCTGGGTCGAGACGACCGTCTCGGCGCCGGCGCCAAAGTCGAAGAAGGTCATGCTGAAGACGGAGGCGAGGAAGGTGCCGGGCAGGAAGATGGCGCCGAGGAGAGAAATGGTCTTCATGGCCGTGCTGTCGCGCTTGCTGGCGTGGGCGAGGCGGCGCTGCTCGCCGGCCATCTGGAACTGAATCTTGGACTCGCGCTGCGACAGCAGGTTGTAGAGGGCGCTGCGCTGGATGTGGAGGCGCTCGAGCGTCGTGGCCTGGTAGTTTTCGATGCCGACGAGCTTGGCCGTGTAGAAATCGAGTCGGCTCAGAAGGCTGCGGTGCAGCTTGTCGAGCTGGGCACCCTCGACGCCAGCCTTGCGCTCGTCGGGCAGCTGTGCCCAGAACTTTTGCATTGCCTCCTTCATCTGCGCGACGACCTCCTGGTAGGCCTGTGGCCGCTTCCACAGCACCTGCGAGTGGCACTCGACGAGATCGCGGCTGATGGCGTCGACCTCCATGACGCCGTCCTCACGCACGTAGCCCTCCTTCTCCTCGATGGCGTCGCGCATGCTGACGGCGTGCTCGAGGCGGCGAAGCCAGTCGCGCGCATCACGCTGCTTCTGGTCGTTGCGCGGCGACAGGTCGTACGACAGGATGATGATGGGTAGCAGCATCGGGTGACCGACCTGGGCCGAGCAGGCCTTGAGGTGGGTGATGGACTCGGCAATGTCGCTCGACGAGGTGCCCTTGACAAACCCCGTCGTGAGTCCCGACTTGACCGCGTGCGAGAGCATAATCTCCCATCCGCGCGTCTTGCCCTTCTTGCGCACGTCCGACTTGCGAAAGATGATCTGCAGATGCGGATCCTCGTCGTCCTGGTCGTAGGAGCACCAGAAAAAGGGCCCGACGACAGAAGTGCCCTCGATGCCGCGGTAGGGTAGACGCATCGTCTCGACCATGGACTTGTACGTCGCGCGCGGGAAGGAGATGACAAAGGGCGCAAACGTTTCGTTGTCCTTGGCGTTCTTCTGGAGGACGAGGCGCATCGCACTCTGACGCTTCGTGTCAGGCTTCATCTTGTCCGGCGCCCGGAAGGCGCCCCTCTCATTGAGATAGTTCTCAAACTCATCCGACGTCAAGGGGTGCTCCTCGACGCAGTTGTAGAAGGTGTCCTTGGGGGGGTAGAGTGGTCAGCCGCACAGTTGGTCTCATTCAAGCATCATCCCGGCTGGCCAATGCCCTGAGTCGTGATTGAAAAGCCAGGTCAGACAGAAGAACTCACAGAATAGTTGAGGACCTCAAGATAGCTCGTCGCCTCGTGCACCTCCTTGCACTCATCCACAAAGAACTTGAACATGTAGTCGTCCATCTTGTCGCCCGCTCTTGTCCCGTCTTGGCTTCCGAAGACTCCGCACACACTCTCGGTCGATTGGGGCCGCCCGTCAGCTCGAGCTCCAGCGCCAGACCGCAGCTATGCAAAACCAAAGCTTGAACAGGACTGGCGGGGTAGGTGAAGACGGGTGCAGCGCTGTGCGAAGCAATGCAGTCAGGAAGCAATGAACGAACGATCAAGAGCTCCAATGGACGCATGCAAGGAAAGGAAAAGCAAGAGAAGGACGCGAGAATCGGAGAAATCTGCGGGCTGCGGGTTGACCTGCCGCCCGTCATCTCCTCACCATCAGTCTTGCAGTAGGCACAGTAGGTAAGGTAGGCAAGGGGGGGGGCGCGCCTCCCGATCCCCAACCTCTTTTCCTGAGGTCGGGGCCAATGGGCGACGAGGCGGAGGGGCGTACGGGCCCAGGGCTGCTGGGGCCGCTCTTGGGGCGGTGCAGCGGGGACCTTGTAGGTGCCTTGGGTGTTTCCTGCTCTGGCTGCTCACTGTCCGGGGGGGTCGGGGCCCACCTGGTGCGGCTTCCGGGCGAACACCCCGCACTTTCGGTGAGGCGCTCCTGACTTCTATCTCCTCGCTGTGCCCTGCCTCTTGCCTGCTATCGCCCTTTGTTGCCTCCTGCTACCTCCTTCTCCTGCCCCATGTCTCCTTGCAGTGCAGTGCAGCGCTGACTGGCCCTGAGCCCTTGCGACTCCATCTGTGCCGTCGCCCTGTTCCACGAGACGCGAAATTGCTGACTTGACCTCATCATAGTCGTCTCACATCTGCCCGCGTCATTGGTGAATCAGCGTCAAGAAATACCGTGCGAAAACCATGCCACAATAACATATATTGTCATGTCAATGAATGGCCATCGCAGAGTGGCTATGGTCGGCACGCCATGGCCAGGTGATGTAGGGCGTCGTCGTTGCAGGGCCTATTCGATACTGTAGCACTCCAACCGCCTCCTCTCCTCACGCACATCCAACACCTACATCCAAGCGCCTGCGTCTTTCCAAACCTGAGCCCTCTGTTTTCGCATCCCAGCAGGAAATTGTTGAAAAAAAAGCCTCCTCATGTCCCGTCATCCAGCACCCATCATCTTGACACGTTCATTATCCAGAAAAATAATGATCAGAACGACACTAGAGCAAGTGCGCTAGCGCTCATCACGACCGACCCCTCTCCAGTGCTTCGGCCTTGTCGCATTCCTTTCCCGGCCTGCAGGTGTGGCCATGACGAATGGCCTTGTAGGGCCACATGGGGCTTCGCATGAGCGCTCGTGGTCCCGTTGGTAGATTTGCCGTGGCTGTGTCTCTCCTGTCAAACGTCGTCTCTGCCGACATTCGCGTCACTGGCCTCTGATACCCATACCATCATGGCGGGGGGCCAACTCAAAACTCGGTGAAGAGATGGCCGAATCTGGATCGCGGTTGGGTTAGTCACTTGTCATGCGCTCCCCGCAGTCCCAATGCTTTACTCACTCGTCGTGCCCCGTCGCACCGTACTTCTCAGTCTCTTCTGGGTACCGGTCGAATTGGCTTGCGTCGCCCGTGCCACCCTTGACGGGCGGGCTGTACGGCGCATCAATATCCTTCTTCGCCAGTCGCTCCCACGTAACCTCCGCGAACCAGGGGTGGTTCTTGACGTCCTTCGAGCCGTGGTAAAGGTTGCCCAGGCGCTTCGTCAGATCCGCCGTGATCAGCTTCTCCAAGAGGTCCCGCGCGCTAGGGTCCATGTACTGCGGGTACTTGACCTTGCCGCGCAGGATGTTTTCGTAGATCTTCATCGGCGACCCGCTGTCCCAGAAGGGCGTGTAGCCGCACAGCATTTCGTAGACGAGGATACCTAGTGACCACCTTTTGTCGCACGTTAGCCTGCCCTGCCCACCTGCATTGCGGGAAACGAGGAATAAGGCCACCTACCAATCCACGGACTTGTTGTAGCCCTTGTTCGATACGACCTCGGGCGCCAAGTAGTCAGGTGTGCCGCAAAGCGTCCATGTCTTGTCTGGTACCTTCTTGGCGAATCCAAAATCAGTAATCTTGAGGTGGCCGTGTCGATCGAGCAAGAGATTCTCTGGCTTCAGATCTCGGTAGATTATGTCCTTCTCGTGCATGTATTCCAACGCGAGTGTGACCTCGGCGGCATAAAACTTGGCGACAGGGTTCGGGAATCGCTGTACAATTACATGTCAGTTCAAGCTGGGACCTCCGACTCAGGCCGGGCGTCTCTAGTCACTTACACCGGATTTACGAAGCAACGAGAACAGCTCGCCGCCCTCGACAAAGTCCATGACCATGTATAGGTTCTTGGAGTCCTGGAAGGTGCCCCACAGGGTTATCAGGAATGGATGCTTGACCTCGCCAAGCATGCGCCGCTCATCGTTCGTGTGCTCGACCTGCTTCATCTTGACGACCTGCGCCTTCTTGAGAACCTTGACGGCGTAGAAGCGCTGGTTGTGTTTAGACTGGACAAGGTGTACTCGACCGAAGCTGCCCGTGCCGAGGGTGCGTAGCAGGTCGAAATCGGTGAGGGTGTATTTGCCCTTGGTCTGGCGAGCCTGGCCTTGGTCTTGGCCATGTTGTTGCAATTGATGCTGGTGGTTGTGTAGTTGCTGTTGTGGCGGATGCATCATGGATTGGGCTTGTTGCTGTTGTAGGCGTTCGGGATCGGTGCCAGGACTGGCCGAGGGTTGAATGTGAGACGCGGGTTGGGTTAGGAATGTGTTGGACTGCTGATTCGAGCCGTCATGCTGTTGAGGGGGGTTGATGAGGTTACTGATACTCGGTAGGCTTTTTTGCGAGTCGGATTGCAGAGGGTTGTGGTGAAGAGCCGCGTGAGGGCTGTTCTGGTGATTTGCCGGGTGAACAGATACGGGATACATGCCCGGCGACAGGTTATCGGCCTCAGCAGAAGGCGCCAATTGATGCTGCTGCTGTTGCTGTTGCTGCTGCTGTTGCTGCTGCTGCTGCTGCTGCTGGGGATTCACCTGCGAATTGGCCGAGGCAGACGCTGACGGCGAAGAGGAAACGACAGAGGCAACAGGAATGGAGCTCGACTTGCGCGCGGCGCTGGTGGGGGTAATGGGGCTGTTGGGCTGGCTCGAGGTTTGGGGCTCCTGATTGTTGTCTCGTGTCCGCTTCTTCTTGAGTAGCCCGGAGAGATTGAGAGAAGGCATAAGGGAGAAGAGAGGGGGGGTTGGTCAGGGAGAAGAGAAGCGGCGTCGCAACCCTCCGAGGCGAAAAAGCACTGGTGGTGCCGGGGCAGGCGTTTTCGAGTTTGCGAGAGTTGGGATGGGCAGGATCAGGGCCAAGCCAGAGTCAGAGACAGAAATGGCGGAGGACGGTTGGTGGTGGTGGCAGCTTGGAGCACAGCACGGCTGACAGCCGGGGGGGCTCGTGGGTTCGGTTTCGTGGTTCTTGTTCGTAGCTCGTGGCTCGTGGCAGGTCTGAGAATGTGAGAACAGACGGGAACAGCGCCCGGGAGCGTGGAGACGTTTTGGAGGGGGAGGGTGGTGTGGGTGGGTATGGACGACGACGGGACCAGGCCAACAACAGCGAGCGCAGGGGGCTGCAGGCGTCAATTGTTAGGTAGAGGGGCGCTGGTTTGAACAATGCGGGCCCAGTGGCACATTCCAGGACAGGACACTGGGACCTGGGGTGTGTCGTAGGAGTCAGTGAGGGCCAGGGCCAGTCGCAAGGGGGTGAACCGTGGCTGGCGAGAAGCAGCTTGCGGAATTCGAGCTCGAATACGAATTGGAGCAGCAGTGGTAGGTTCAATTGCAGAAAAAGGATGAAAACAGCATCAACGTCCCGGCCGTCAGTCCTGTTCGTCTGCCGTGCCTGCGAACTGTCTGTCGCCTTCAACGTTACTTCGTCTGCTGGTAGGTCGGTTTGAGCCGTACAGAGAAGCAAGTATGGTCGCGGTCTGACGTCGGTTCGATCTTGTTTCTTTCTTCTGGCTACAGCGAACGTCCCTCGGGATGAAAAGGTTGGGGTGGATGGCTGGGCTTGACAGGTTCGGTCCAGGTCCTGTTTGTCTGTGTCTCAAGGCTCAGTTTGGGACATGCCAGATCTACGAGCAAGACAGAGCAGTTGCGTGCAGGTGCATATACAGCTGTGTAGGTAAGGTAGGTTGAGCAATTGCAGAGTGATTTTCTTCTGTAGTCGATGTGAGAGGGGGGGTGTTCGGGATCAAAGACGCTGCCACGTCTAGTGGGCGCGGATGCTGTGCTGGGCG